TTTTGTACCAAAGTGATCAATACCCTCAAGTACTTCCTGAGGAGAAATTAAGGTGGGTTTGTGTGTCTTAAAAACAATCTTTTTGTGATTTCTTTTGTTTTTAGACTTAATTTTTCATTGGTCTGTATGAACCATCACTCTATGCCTCTACTGAAGGCATTACTTATGTTGCCCTACCTAGTATGCATATTATCTGTATATTATTTCCTATGTTATATATACTGGGCTTGCTTTTTCCTTCCTTTTTGATTGATGTCAAAGGGGGGAGAACATTACGGAGTAAATCAACAACTCAGGGGGAGCAGGGCATCTCAATTGATAAAAGGGAAGTATACTTTGGTTACTCTCTCTTTATTGTCATCATCAAAAAGGGGAAAATTGTTACATCTAAGTTTTAATAATGACAGTTGTGCAAAACTAAATCCTATCTACATTAATTGTAGGAATCAATACATCAGCAGAAGGAAATGAAATCAAATCTAAGGAGACGATGCTAGGACAATAAGCTATCAAAAAGGAAACTGAATCACAGAAGATTCTACAGAAACGCAAGCCAAGAAGGAAGGAAGGAAGGACGAAAGCAATGGGAAACACATCATAGTGGGAGACAATTGGAAGTATTGCTCCTTTCTTTGATAAATCATGAAGCACTCCTTTTGGATTAATTAATCCACCCCATGGAGACAAATTGAAATGGTGTCTCCTCACAAGAGCACTCCTTGGATTAATAAATCTAGCCCATCTCTCTTGAAGGAATGAAAGACACCTTTCTCGAAACAAAATACCCATACACAACAATATTCTCCTATAAGAACACTGGCAAGCTCAAGGATTGAAAGTGCACAATTACAAACATTGTCTTCTAAGTCTCTCTAGTTCTCAATACAAGCACTGTATTCTTAAGTCTACATATGTCATAAAAGATAGGAAGAGTTAGAACACAAAAGAGAATTGTCTCAGCATCTAAAAATTATGGTTGTTAAACATCGTTGGTGGTGAACGAGCCAAAACCATCACTGTTGTAATTCTTTATCAAGATCTAAGAGAACCCTTGTGACCCAAGGAAAACTGGACGTAAGTACCACACCGGTACCAAACCAGTATAAAAACTGATTTGTCTTGTTTTGCTTTCAATTCATTGCATTCATCTCTATTCTATCTGTGTGTTGTACGAAAACTAGTCGACTAAACTCAAACTTAGTTGACTAAGTTTTAATAGTCCATAATCCACCACCACCACCCCCTCCCTCTTGTACTTTAAATTGGTATCGGAGCAAAGCTCACAAACATTGCTTAACAGCTAGTGAGGAAAAGATCATAGGATCAAATACAATTGTCGGTGCATTATTTCAAGAAGGAACCTCTCAGGTACGACCTCCATATTTTAACGGACAATATTTTTCTCACTGAAAAGTTCGTATGGAAAAAAATACTATGTCATATGACATCAAAGTTTAGCGTGTTATTAAAAATGAAATCTTCCAATTCCACCAAAGAAAGATGCGGATGGTCAAGTCATTGTATCAACCGATCCACTTGACTTAGATGATTACACTGATAAACAAGCTGTTGTTATAACTATGAATGCCAAAGAAAAAAAATCTACTATATAATGCTATCAGTGGAGAAGAGTATGAAAAGATTTCAAGCTGTGAAACTTCCATAGAAATGTGGGAATAAATTGGAGATCACATATGAAGGAACCAACAAGGTAAAAGAAATATGGATCAATCTTTTAGTTCGTGACTATGAGCTATTTCAAATGAAGGATAAAGAATCAGTGGAAGAAATGTTCAGCAGATTCAGCAAAATCCTTGGAGGTCTAAAATCCTTTGGTAGACCAATAAATAGTGGAGAACAGGTCAAAAGAAACCTTAGAAGTCTGCCCACAATTTGGCAACCCAAGGTTATTGCTCTGGAATGTCAGGACCTTGACAAAATATATTATGATGAACTTAGAGGTGATCTAATTTCCTATGAGAAAACTCACTTGGATAGGCAAATTCAATAAGAAAAGAAAAAAATTGTAGCTTTTAAAGCAACTGTGGCTGAACCAGAAAATGAAGAGGAAGAGGAAGGAGGAGAACAGGATGAAAACATAGCCATATTTTCTCAAGTTGTAGCAAGCATGATGAGGAAGAACAGATACAGCAGAAGAGGGAAATCAAACTTCAAAAAAGGAAGGACAAATAATGAAAATGATAAAAATGATGGAAGATGCTATGAATGTGGAAAACATGGACACATTCAAGATGATTATCCTGTACTGAAGAAGAAACTCAGTAGGAACTTTCAAAAGAAGAAGTCTTTTGGAGTCTGGAGTGATGAAAAAGAATCTGACCATGAAGAAATTGCAAATATGTGTTTCATGGCCATACAAGAAGATAGCAATGAGGACTCAGGAGAGAGTGGGCTCATGACAAATGAAGTAGCAGATGAAGAAGAAGACTCATGTGAACTCGGTCTTATGGCAGATGGGGGAACTAGTGAGGCACGTCTTCCTACATGTCCCAACTGTTATGAACTTTAAGAATTTGTTGATATTGCTCTTGCAGATATTGAAAGAATTTTAAATGAACTTAGAAAACATGGTCACACTTCTAACCATTGCAGGTTCAATAACAACAGGAGATGGGTCTGGCGACCTAAATTCTCTAGTCAAGCTAACACTCAAAAATCTAACCATTCAGGATCCAATCAGGCTTGGGTACCTAAAAACAAGTAATCTTGTTTTGCAGGAACACCGCAAGAAGAAGCGAAAAGGAAAATGGTATCTTGACAGTGCTTGTTCTAAACATATGACTGGTGACAAATAATTATTCAAAACAGTCACCAAACTAGATGAAGGAACATTTACCTTTGGAAATAAATCAAAAGGAAACGTAATAGGAGTTGGAAAAGTTCCTCTAAGCTTAACATGTGATGTAGATGAAGTATACCTGGTTGATGAACTCGGTTACAATCTTTTCAGTATCAGGCAACTATGTGACAATGACTATGAGGTACGTTTTTAGAAACATGGCTGGTTTATAGAAGACAAATCAGGTAAAGTTATTCTTTCAGGTAATAGAGACAGGAATGTATATACTATTAGTAATATAGATAGTCTTGGTGATCAAATTTATCTTGCTTCTGTGATTGATGACCCTTGGGTTTGGCATAGAAAGTTTGGACATGCTAGCATGCATACTATTCAAAAACTTTCTAAATATGATCTTGTTATTGGTCTTCCAAAGCTAGATTTTTCCAAAGATCACATTTGTGATGCATGTAAATTAGGAAAATAAACTCGCTCATCTTTCAAAATCAAAAATATTGTTTCTACTACTAAACCACTTCAACTATTGCATATGGATTTGTTTGGTCCAACTAGAACTGCTAGTATAAGTGGTAGAAAATATGCTTTTGTCATTGTGGATGATTTTTCTAGATTTACGTGGGTTATTTTTATAAGTCATAAAGATGAAGCCCTAAGAAATTTTGAAGTTTTCTGTAAGAAGGTCCAACGTGGAAAAGGATATTACATTTCTACTATCATAAGTGATCACAGAGGAGAATTTGAAAGCAAAGCCTTTGAAAACTTTTGCAATGACCAAGGAATCCCTCACAACTTCTCTTCACCAAGATCGCCTCAACAGAATGGAGTGGTAGAACGTAAAAATAGAACCTTACAGGACATGGCAAGAACATGATTGTTGAAAACTCTCTACCTCACCATTTTTGGGCAGAAGCTGTAAGCACAGCATGTCATATTATCAATAGGTATTTAATTCGATCCATTCTTAAAAATACGTCATATGAGCTATGGAATGGTAAGAAACCCAACATCAGTTACTTTCATCCTTTTGGATGCAAATTCTTCATTCACAATAATGGAAAGGACAATCTGGGTAAGTTTGATCCAAAAAGCAATGAAGGTATATTCCTTGGATATTCTCCCTCAAGTAGAGCATATAGATTTTACAATAAAAGAACCTTATGCATTGAAGAATCAATTCATATTGTTTTTGTTGATACTAACCCTCGCTCAAGGAATGAAAATCTTCCTGAAGATGAGGAAATTTCTATTGTTCCAAAGTCTGTTGTTGTAGGAAAAGACTGTCAAGAGGAGTCAACTGGTTAGCAAAATCCATCAACTGAGGAACATAATGAAATCCAAGAATCTTCTTCAACAGAACAGTCGACTACTAATAAAAGGAACCAATCACAAATATTCCAAATGAATGGAAAAGTGAACTTGGATATCCTCACAAATTCATTATTGGAAATTCACAGGAAGGAAACACTACCAGAAGATCTCAAAAGCTCAACTCTAACATGGCTCTAATTTCTTAACTTGAGCCAAAGAAAGTGGATGAAGAACTAAAAGACGTTTACTGGATCAAAGCAATGAAAGATGAACTTGATCAATTTGAAAGAAATAAAGTATGGAAAATGGCTCCAAAACCTTCAAGTGCTTCTATTGTAGGAACCAAATAGATTTACAGAAATAAGCTAAATGAATCCAGACTAGTGGTACGAAATAAAGCACGGCTTGTTGCGCAAGGTTATTCTCAGCAAGAAGGAATCGACTATGATGAAACATTCGCAATTGTAGTAAGATTGGAATCTATTCGAATATTACTTGCCTTTGATGCTCATAAGGATTCAAACTATTCCAAATGGATGTAAAAAGTGCATTTATAAATGGATACATCTCTGAAGAAGTTTACGTAAAGCAACCTCCTGGATTTATAAATGATACTCTCCCAGATCATGTATATAAGTTGATTAAATCTCTATACGGACTCAAGCAAGCTCCCCGAGCCTGGTATGAAAGATTAAGTTCCTTCCTTCTAAATCAAGGTTTCAAATGAGGTAATATCGATACAAATCTGTTTATTAAGCACTCAAATTCAGGTAATCTTATTACTCAAATTTATGTTGACGATATTATTTTTATAAGTCCTAACTCTGTTCTATGTGAAGAATTTGCTCATTCTATGAAAGGAGAATTCGAAATGAGTATGATGGGAGAGCTAACTTACTTTCTTGGACTAAAAATCAAACAATCTCTCAAAGGTATCTTTATCAGTCAAACCAAGTACATCAAGGAGATTTTGAAGAAGCTTGCCATGGAGAATGCTAATCCCATTGGGACTCCAATGAGTCCAACAACTACGCTTGATGAAGATAACAATGGAAAAAGTGTTGATGAAAGTATTTATAGAGGAATGATTGGATCCTTATTATATCTCACTGCCAGTCGACCGGATATAATGTTCAGTGTGTGTAAATGTGCAAGGTTTCAGTCGGCTCTAAAGGAATCTCATCTTACTGCTATTAAATGCATTATAAGATATCTTATTGGGACCTCTGAATTAGGATTATGGTATGCTCACTCTAACAATTTTGTCTTGAAAGGTTTTCAGATGCAAATTTCGTAGGTGATAAGATCGATAGGAAAAGTATTAGTGGCACATGCCAACTGTTGGGGAATATATTAGTTTCTGGGCATAGCAAGAAATAAAATTGTATTGCCTTGTTAACAACTGAAGCAGAATATTTAGTTGTTGGAAGTTGTTGTACACAAGTTCTTTGGATCATGCATCAACTTCTCGACTATGATTTATCTCTTACCTCTACTCCTATATTTTATGATAATACTAGTGCTATATGTTTGGCAAAAAATTATGTGCATCACTCCAGAGAAAAGTATATAGAAATCAAGCATCATTGTATCCGTGATCATGTTGCGAAAGGTGATATTGTATTAGAATTCATTAGTATTGAATCTCAACTTGCTGATATTTTTACAAAACCTCTTTTAGAAGAAAGATTTTGTCTACTACGAAAAACGATTGGCATTATGTCTGTTTTATAAAACAAATCTTTTCTATATGTTTAAAATATTTTATTTTCTTTCATGTGTGTGTTTAATTTTACTTTGATGTAAGTGTAATTATTACACCTCCATCAGTACCGCCAAAACATCTCCTTAGAAGAGTCACTTCTTTATGAATTTGTCCTTTTCTTTAACCAATACAACTCTTCAACCTTCCCAACGTCTAGATAAGAACCCTTTTCTCTCCTTCTCACTCTTCATCCTCTCCAAATAAATCCTCACCATGACGAAAAGAAACCTCCCATCTTCCACTGCCACCAGAAGAAGCAGAAGGTTTAAGAAAACCCTCAACCCTGAAGAAACTATAAACTTGGAATCATCCATCGACTCAGATTTCCTCAAGACCGACAATGAAAGCAATACATCTTCTGAAGACCTTCCCATTAGCCAGAAAAAGGCAGAAAAGAGGCCCATGGAGCAAACCCCCAAAAAACCTGCATGCAAGAAAAGGAAAGTGGAGAGTACATAATTTGGGCCAGAGGGCAAATTAATCTTCTATGGACCAAGTGAAAAATCAAGGTTTGAGTCCTATAAGTCGAAATCTAAGGCTTATGATTGTAAGTCTCTCTCTTAGGAAAAACTATCAATGTGATGTGATTGATGTTTTTGATTTTCAACGACTTTCCTCTCTATTCGATACTATTGGGAGCTCCGTATATGAAGAGTCTGTGAGAATTTTCTATGAAAATTTGTTTGTGAATGATAAAGATGACTTGGAGTCCATGGTTTTAGGCGCTCGAATTGTTCTTGACACTTATCAATTTAAGAAGATCTTTTCTGTTAAATTTAATGGGTATGAGGTTTTTGTGCAAATTTCCTGGCCAAAAGACTTTGAAGTTTCCCTAGAAGAAGCAAAATCCTTACTGTCTAATAATCCTCCCGACATTGGTCTCAAAAATCTAAAGTTTGAACACCGGTTTTTAGCCCACATGATAGCCACCACTTTACTTCCTAGAACCGGGTCCCTCAGCACTTTGTCTACCAGAGATATCTTTGTTCTTTACTGTATAGTGAACTACAAAAGACTTAGCTGGTTTGTATGGATTCGTTAATATATGCTTGAGAGTATCAAGGATATATCCTCTTCAGCTGCTTGTCTACTCTATGGCCTACTTATCTCACATATTCTTGGAGTAATGAAGGTTGATTTGGCACCTTTCACACCCCAAGCACATTACCAGTACCTATGACAAAGACAGCCTTCTCTATGATGGGTTACACTTTAAGTGATGATGGATGGGTCAAGCGCGCCAAAGTTGA